TGCGATGGGAATATTGCAAAAACAAAACAGAACGTGGAGCATGCAGGGTGTTTGTAGTAACCTTTGTGAAAAAAAAAACATTCCAGGTTGGGGTTGGTTTATGACTGGAAGATTGATTAGACCTTCACATCAATCGGCTTCTGAGAGAAACTGACGCAGCAGCACCTGCCGTCCACTCGCTCCATCTTCGTGATGTAGAGGAGCGGCTCGATGCTGCAGCTCAGGTCCATGATGGAGAACACGCTGATGCTGATCTGACAGCGGAACACCAGGAACGAGTAGTAGGACACGAAGGGCATGAGCGCCACGGGCGGCAGGTAGTTGGCCACGATGATGGCCAGGATGATCAGCACCATCTTGAAGGCCTTCTTCTTCACCGGGTGCATCTCCTCTTTTCCCGCCACGGAGCGGCGGAGGACCCAGATGACGGAGATGTTGCAGAAGACCATGACTGCAAACGCAAAGAGGATGACTCCGCTGAAGACCTCGTTGACGCTCATCACTCCCAGGGTGCACTTTGTGAGGCCGTAAGCCAGGATCAGGCCCCAGACCACCACAGAGATGCCGATGCGGATCTTGTTGTCGCGGATACCAGTGAATAGCACTGGATGGACCACAGCGATGTAGCGGTCCAGACAGATACACACCTAGCAGGAAGGAGGACGTGTGTTTGAGTACACTTATTGAGTAGTTCTGCTGAAGTATGTTGTCATAAAAAAAAAAAAAAACTTGACCTGAAAGCATTAGCAAATATAAATATATACATAAAAAAAAAAAATAATAATATCAGAAACTGTTCTGCTCTCGAAGAGATAAATAAAAACAAGTTTTTATTTTATGAGACAAAGTTTTCAACTAGTAAGCTGTTGAAAATTAGTTAAAATAGGCAAAAGTAATTTAAAATAAACTTGACATCGTACTTTTCCCCAACAAATAGAAATGAACCACCTAATCTTGGCGCTGTCATTTACTCTCCTCTTTTTAGCCCCTTAGGGGAATAAACTAAACCGAAAAACCTATAAATTATGCTTTTTAAAATTAAAAATTTTGCTTAGATGAAAGTTTAGAAATTAACATAATAGGATACTTACATGTCCAAAATATCAAACAGTTAAAAAATCGTAGTGATGATGTCACAACATCTTGTCTTTAAATGATTTATTGTCAATATGAATTCTATGTATTGTATAGAAGCAGTACATTTAAAATAAAGCAGCTAAACATCCCCACATTAACCCTCCATGGCTCACGGTTTTAGAAAATGTCTGTCTCGTACCTGTTCCTAACTAAATGTAGATAAAAACTACCCATACAAATATACAACACATGTTTTTGGTGGGAAAATATCAGACATGTCAAAGCAATATGGCTTTCTTCCATTACCCCGACAACACCTATGAAATCTGACGCAATCCAATTCAACAACTCTTTGTCGTTAATGCCTAAAAATCTATCTTGTATATATACAAATATGCAAATGTACAAATACGAAACAACAACTCACCAGAAACAGCGGCGCTACATCCTTGATCCCATACGCAAATCTCTGGAAGTACCAGATGCGGCTGTCGTCCAGCAGCAGCCGGTTCACCATCTCTATGGGCGTCATCAGGCAGAAGTAGGCGTCCAGGATGGCCAGGTTGAAGATGAAGATGTCGGATGTGGACGCGTCGCTTTTCCTGGTCGCGATCTGCCAGATGACCAGGACGTTGCACGGCGTCCCCACCGCCAGGTTGAACACTTTGACGCCGAAGTAGAAAATGAAGCCGTAAGGGGCCACGGCACACACTGGGAACTGGTACCACGGCGGAGGACCACGGGGGCCCTCGGGGTTGGTGGAGTTCATGTAGAGGTTGGTGGCTGGAATTAGAGTGGCGTTGAGCATTGTGCCGAAGAAGAAGGAGCTGATGCTGAAAGAAAAGTGAACGGTTACTATTCTTTATCCATAGAAGACACTTCATATGAATCCTCTTCAGAAAAGGCTTCACATCAGGACGTCTTACCTTAACAAGGCTCACTGTGTCCTCCAGAACCTTCCTGTATGTACCAGCGGATCACTGGGACCAGGGGTTTATACGCTCCCTGCACGGGGACTAATGGCGCTTTTGGATTGGGTCAGTCTGCGGGACGTTCGCTATCCCTTCATAGCATCATCCCAGCTGTGATTGGCCAGAGTGAGGCAGAGCTATTGGGACAACTTCAGTAATGGGATGCTTTGGACGGGTTGACTCAGGAGCTATCCATGTAGAAGTAGTCTTACACGCTGTAGGGGTAAATATTAATGCCTTCAGGCCTCTCTGATTGTTGCCTGATGTTGCTAAGCTTGCACAGTCCTTCAAATTGTTTTTTATATTTCCCTCTTCGCCCAACATGAATTCCTAGTTGTTGACTACAATGTGAAGAAATCAGCCTTAAAATGTCCCCAAACCAAACATTTAAAGGTGAACAAAGGCCAGCTGATGCCACAGGTATGTTATCCACAGTAGCGCTGCTGCTTCATCTCGACTCTACGCCGTAAACAGGTGATGCAAGGTAAATGAGAAATCCAATGCAAGGTGTTACTAAAGTGCCTGGACTAAGTGTTAAGAAGGAAAAACCCAGTGGGAAATATTAGCTCGCAAAGCCGTGAAAAACACCCACTTACATAAAGTGTCCTGTGTGTTTCATAATAGTCGTCATTACACAACTAACCAATTTACACGACGGTCTCTGGAGAGCCTGTTAGAAAAGGTTTGGCTCGGGATCTGAGCGTTTATCGGGCTCCGAGGGTTCTGCTGATAGATGCTGAAAAGTTTCATTCTGGCAAACGCGTACGGTGATGTTATTGCTCAACTGATGAGAATGTGTTGGTCTTAGTTGTTTCAGGTTTACTTTTTATTTCTTTTTAAATCTGTCTTGCCAAAGTCGTCCATCTGTTACATAAAATCACTGAAGAACTCTTTTTAGATGTTGATGTGCTTGAACAGGATTTCCAACAACACATGACTAACAAATACTAACGAGTTGACACAAATTACACAAACTTTAACTACAACTTTCTACAAAACAGAAGCTAAGGCACATGATCTGCATGTTCAAACCAAAGATTGTGAGTGCGATTCACGTTTCTGTTGCTGGTGTGCAGTAAAGCAGTCGTGATGTCGATGCTAACGTGTTTTTCAAGTATCATGGAGGTGTAGATGTGACCCAAGGATCCCGGTTTTACATTCCTCCACAGCTGAATATACATTTTCATACTGTGATAAACACATAAACTGTAACTATTCAACTATAAACATCATGTAAAAGGGAACCACATACATACAAGGTCACTGCTTTCATTATGTTTGGTGTCAGGTTGCTTGAGTCTTGATTATTCTCCCTTGTGAATGCACACGTGGACAGCTTTGGAAGCGATGCATAGCTGTTATTACTTTGAAGTACGCTTAAAGGACTCTGTTTTATACATGTGCAGTCGATGAAGTATTTCCTGCATGCAAATTAGTCTTAGTGCCCTGCAGTAACACCCTGGACAGGTAACCAGTCTATCACAGGGCTACACTTAGAGACAGACAACCAAGCACACTCACATTCACACCTACGGACAATTTAGAATTAACAATTAACCTCAACATGCTTTTGGACTGTGGGAGGAAGCCGGAGAACCCGGAGAGAACCCACGCTGCACAAGGAGAACATGCCATCAGGTGCCAGAAGCAGCCAAATGTGGCTTTAAACTGTTGCCCCATAAACCCTGATCACCCAACCTGCACTGCCTGACATCTGTTTTCCCAACTTCCACTTGTGTGGTCGCCATTTTCAGAGTAACGATAAGGCCGCGCATGCTGTTGAGGAGAATCTGGAGGCTTGAGATGTGACCTTCTTCTGCAAAAGGACAACGAGGCTTAAACATGTGTGGCTCAGACTATGTTGAAAGGGGCGACATCAGCTTCAGCTAAATGAATGAGGAGAGAGCCATAACTGTAGTTTCAGTGCTCACCAGGACATAAAAACTTCTACTACACCTGCAGTTTCACAACACCATGCTTGTGTCAGTGCAACAATCTGATTGGCTCGATGTTTCCCTGACGGCTGTTACAAAGCAGCTGATTGGCTGTAAGGAGGGCGGGGCGAGGCAGGTTTTATTTATTGGCTCTTTGGCATTTTCTCCCAAGATTTCTTTTAAAGAAGTGGCGAGGCTGTACCTTGTAACGTGTTCAGGCTGCACAAGAGCTTCTACTGCTGACAATATGAAGCAGGTGGTTTTAATGTTGTGGCTCATCAGTGTCGACGCCACAAACAACATTCAAAAACAGGATTCATAAAAAAACTAAACACAAGAACAAACTTTTTATTCCACAATGTTTTTATTAATGAAATCAAACATTCCCAGTTTGGCTTACAAATAGGCTTTTAAAGTCAAATAACCCTGTCGTACATGATAGGCAGTATCTGACATTATTAATACAAAGAGGAAACTTTTTGGCTTATTTTGTGGACAGAGATGAACCTGATTCAGTGAGATGAAGTAAACCTCCGACAGAGTTATACCAGCGAGAATTTAAGAGGAATTATAACATCTGAGCTGTGTGCTCAACGTATAGCACTGATCGGCCAAAGCACTGCACGGGCTGTTAAACAACGAAGCCACATAGGACATGCGCAAACACACGTTTTAGATCGTAGGACTTTTTTTTTTATTACCAAATCGATTAGAGTGCATTGTTTTGTGTACATACAAAAAGCTGTAACTTAAAACTGATGGCTATGCATAATCAAGGTGTTTAATGAAGAAATACTGTAAATTAAACATATTAGAACTGTACCAAAGTCCTTGTATTAACAATTATTCTGACTTTAAATACACAACGGGATGCACAAGGACTGGGATTTCACGAAATCAACTTTTTGAATTAATGGAGGATTTCGTCGTCACCAAACAGTCTCATAAAACCACAAGAATAAATACTTGTTTCTTCCAAAGTTTGATTTAATTTGAGCACAACTTATACAAAATAAAATGCATGGCATGCATGTCTACTTCTTCAAATTGTAAATATCAGTTAACGTTCGCTGTGAGCTCAAACCCTTTCTTAGATCTCGAAAAACCAAAAGAAAACAAGAAGTTCTGATCCTGGGTTGTAGTAAAATCTTTCATGATACAAATCTGAAAACAAGATCAAGGAAATGATGGATTACCTGGAATCCTCTCTAGTGCATCTCATTAGAAAAAAAACAAACAGCCTTTCTCTTTCGTTTTCATCTATAATACAGCAAATAAACTAAAACAACGTCCTGTCACTGTGTTCAGAGGTATTTTCCAGACTTTGAACAGTAAAGTTTGATCATTTTTCACATGTACCGCATGTCAACGATCAAAATTTACTTCCAAACGTTTCCTACAAAACAGACGTAACACATCAATTTGTCAATAAATAACGCAATTCCTTCCTGGCTGAGTAGCTCGTACAAAATGAAAGCGTTCTGTACAAGGTAGGAACGAAGACGTCTTTTCAAAGAGAGGTTAGAAAGAAGATTTTCAAGTATTCAAAGTACCAGAAATAAAACTGATGCGCTAGAACTCGCTAAGAGAGAAAACAAATCTTACAAAGCTGCATATTTTACCTTCCTTCAGGAATATTAAATCAAAGTTAATTTAATAATAACAAACAACACTGATTGAAAAACATTCACCGCTGCCCTGTGTATATCATCTACCTGCTGCTCACGGGGTGCTACGTCCCATCGCTCAACTACGATTACAAATCAGAACAACGTCCCGACAAAAATGGCGTAAAAACGTTTCCAACCTGGTCGGATATCGAGCAACGTGTTTGACTGAGAACTTCGCAAACTAGACCTTTGTTTTGTAAAAATGTGAACTATTGAAGTTTATTCAGTGTCCAAAAATGGACAGCGTAAGTTAATAAAAAACACCTTTTGAAGTTCATTAATGTCGTTACTGACAGTCGTCCTCAAATGTATTCATCCCCTTCCATTAACAAAAATGCACAATACTCACTCAAATAACTAGAAACTGAAAAAAGTGATAATAAAAAAAATTGGATAAATTACAATTTAATGAAATAAGACGTTGTTTTTCAATTGTGGTTGAAAAGAATAATTTAAAAACAAACAAACAAAAAAAAAAAACACTTGATTGCCTCAAAGGGTTGTTCAACAAAATCTTAGATTATGGGTCCCATCATGCTTTTTTCTTTTTTTCTTTCAGTATTTCTGTTGAACCACAATTCAAAAGCAATGTCATGATTTTCACTACATTTTTATTTATTACTACTTTTGTCAATTTCAACTTATTTCAGTGACAGATGTTTTTTTCCTTCTCTGACGGGAGGGTATGAATACATCTGAGGACGACTGTAGGTGATGTGGCAGGCAGCCTTGATGGCGATGACTGGAACCAGCTGTTACTGGATCACCTGCAGAAATGTGGGTCAGTAAAGTGACCTGCTTCTGCTTGTACCATGAAGCAAGGCATGTAACACTGAAGCTACCCGCTGGCAAAATGTAATGTTATTTAACCAGGGAGCTTCCACTGTGATTGTGCGCTGTAAGAATGTAAAGCAGGAAACACTTCATAAGTATCAGCAATAATCAATAACAGGAAAAGATGAACAATTATTCTGTGGCACGCTCATGTGATTGAAAGCATAAAGTTGCCAGAACCTCACGCCTCCATATGGTTTTACTAGATAGATTTTTGGTTTTTAGAAACCCATTTCTCTTTGCAATCATTTAAAGCTGAATGTGCACTGCACAAAACGCTCTGATAATTTTGTCATTTTAACATTAAGTCAGCACAAAAAAACAGCAAAACCTGTTGCCACACACACACAGCTGACACACAGGCGTGACCCAAGTCAACACCAAAAACTTCTTCAGTAGCATTTTGGCCTCGAACGCATCTCAGACCATCAAGTGACTTTTAATCTTTATAAAAAAAAGTCTCCATTTCAAATGTACTTTGTGATATGTTGGAATGCGCTGTCACGTCACTCTGCGTGGACCTGGAGTCTCATGTGGAGGCGATCTGTCCGTGCACACGGAAGCGGTAAAGACACGTGTACTCGACGTGACCCCAGTTGGTGAGAACTCGCAGCTCCACAAATCGATAAACCAAGTCGCTCGGGTTCTGCATGAGGGGCACAAGTGAAAATAAAAAGAGAAAGTTTAAAAAGAAGAGAAAGAGGAGGATGAATGTCACGAGTGTCCAGGACGATCAAATAGGACATGTCATGTTCACAAGCAGTAACTGTCTGGACACCTGAGTCACACAAGTGTTTGGACCACTAGCAGGTGCACATTTGACATTTCTACATGGACCTCAAACTAGAGGAGAGAAAAAAAACTCCAAATTCTGTGTCGGTCAGCCGTGATGAGCCGACCTTCATGCTCAGCATCATCACTGGTGGTGAGAGGAGGCGGGAGCAGAAACAGGAGTTTGCGCAGTACAAAAGGGCACATTTTATAAAACCTGAAGAGCTGCATCAGGCCAGGAGAGCGCTAAGCACAGATGGTGCTTGACATTTTTAAATAATGGGACTTCCAGGGAGCTTAACAAGTGTTTAAAAAGCACGCAAAGAGACTTCTTTGACAGGGATGGCAGCTGAATTTAAACCAGGTAGAGCAGGGGTGTCGAACTCTGGTCCTCGAATCCTGCATGTTTTAGATGTTTCCTTCTTCCAACACACCTGATTCAAATGATCAGCTCATCATCAAGCTCTGCAGAAGCCTGATAACCATCCTGATCATTTGGGAAACATCTAAAACATGCAGGATTGCGGCCCTCGAGGACCAGGATTGCCCACCCCTGAGGTAGAGCTTTTGATTTCAACAGACGCACACTCTGAGAAGTTCTTAACTACACCTTGTTCATGTGTTTCTGTAAATATCAGTCAGTTTGAACTCACAGGCAGCTTGAACGTCTGCGTCGATGCTCCGTTCTCATCGTAAGTGAACTTCCCCAGCAGTGTTCCTTCTTCTGTGTCGTTGTTCATGCCCTGGTAAAGAGAGGAATTACAGCCACGTCAAAGTTCAGAATCACTACTTAAAAACTGACTTATTTATTCCTGAGCTCTGTAATCATTCACTGTATTGCCAGAACAGAAGCACTATTAGGTTATAAAAAACAACACAGCCTGTAGCTTAACAGAGCTGCACTTTACAATTGTCAAATCTAATCGTAATACAAAACTGCAATACGAAGGGTTTCCAGAGACTTTCCAGCTCTGTTCAGCTGAAGGCTATGATTTTATAATCTAATATTCATTTTTTTTTATTCATATCAGAAAGTACTGGATAGCAGTTGTCTTATTGATTCAAGTCATTTCAAGTTGCAGCTTGTTCTAATGATAGTATATCTTTAATATGTTGCTGAATCGTCTATTAAATGATGTACTCCTTGAAAGAAAATCTAAAAAGCTCAAATCCAAAATACTTAGTAATAGTTAAGGTGACGACCACTAGCACTTCTTAAAGCTGTGAATTTGACACCTTTAATTCTGACAAATTTTCAGTGTCTGTATAAACTCAAGAGGTAGCTGCCTGCTACTTTTTGAGCATAAAAGCTGAGGCAGTCATGTGGCGGCCGACTGGCTTTCCGGACCGGGAGCACTCACGTAAACTTCAAAGTCTTTGGGAGCGGAGTCGATGCGACCGGTGGGAGAGTTGTAGCGAGGCAGGTGGTCCAGCGTCACATGACTTATCCTCACGGGGTGAGAGAGCGAGATGACAAGAGTGCCTTGGACACCGTGAAACGCCCAACATTTGCCCGGAAGCAGCACCGGGTAGCCCTGGGAGGGAAGGAGGTGAGAGATGTCGTTAGTGAAACTGTAACTGCTAAAAACCTGCGTTGTTGTTCATGTCTTATACGGTTAAAGGGAGATGATACCTGGATAACGGTGCGTGGGCTTTCAGAGGGATACCACAGAGGGAAACCAAACAGGGTGAGACAAGCTGAACGATGACGATACGTCTCCGAACACCTGGTGCTGATCACACTGGCACCTGTACACAGACACCAAACGTATAAGAAGAATCGAAGGCTTATTTGCTGAAGCTATACTAATTTCAGATGATATTAAATTACTGCCTTTAATCCAAAAAGAAGAAAATTATAATAATCTTCACAAGCAAAAGCTACGACAAAGTGCAATTTTTATTGAACTAAACATCCAACACGGAAAGATTTCTGATAAAAATCGGTAGTTGTACACAGAGTTCTCAGGGTGTTAGCAACGCATGGCCTCATAAATAATTAAACTTTCCTGACCTTGAGTCTCCAGGGCGAAGTCGGCCATTTTGTCAGCCATGGGACGCCCACAGTCTGTGCAGCTTCCTTTGTCAGCGAGCCTGATTGCATCCTGTTCCTGATACACAGTCACACCACGAGCACAAATGAGCGTTTTGTAAAGTGGTCTTACAGACTGTCCACTGCATCACTATCTATGCAGCTACCTTGATGCGGTCAGTGAACCACTTCTCCATGGCCTGCTGGAGCTCAGGAGTGAGTTGGTTGACGACGGGAGCGGCGCTGGTGTCAGGACAAGGGGCTGGAGGAGGCGTCAGCTGCATGGAGGACAACTCCTGGGACAGCTGCAAGAGAGAGGAAGCCACATTGAAATACATAAGAAACATGTCTGGCTGAAAGAAACAAGAGAGACAGTGTTAACTAATGTCTGTCTTTTCATACAAAGAAGTGCAGAAACCTTTAATCTTCTGTCAGCGGGTACATCTCTGTCAGACCCTGTTACCTTGGTGTTCTGTTCCTCCAGAGTTTGGATCCTGAGGCTGAGCGTGGCGGCAGCAGAGCGGCTGTCCGTCTGGTAATCTTCCATCTGCCTGCCCAGCCCAGCGAGCTCCTGCTCCAGACGCAGCTGACCGTTGGAGTCCACCGCCTCCAGCTTGGCTTTCATATCCTGCATGTCCAGCTGCAGTTTCTCCTTCATCTGAGAGATTAAGACATGAATCAGTCAGTCATGACTGGAGTTATTGTACGACGAGGAAAGGTGTTGCTTAAACCAGTCTCAGGTTTTCTAGAAGCGTCAAGGATCTAATGACACTCTACAGATCTGATCTTTTGTTAGCCAGGTGTCACTCTGGGCTAAGGAGTTTCTGATGGATTAATTTCACAGAATTTACATCAAGATCACCACCAAACTGGATACTTCCAATCAAAAAATTCAAATTTGTAAAGTTAACACAATCTGTTTGGAAAAGACTGATACTTATGTGATAATGACCGACAGACGTTTGCACTTCCAGAGTACTTTAAGTGAGACGACACAGAATAACGAAGCCACAAAGTCATAAACAAAATCTACACTGCAGTTTCACATCGACACCACTAGATGGTACTTCAGTGGTGGTACTGTGCATTAACCCACTTCAAATCTGGCTTCCATCATGATGTCCTTTTGCAGAACTTTTTACCAACCACAGAGCTAGACTGATAACTGCTAAATGAGACGAGAAAGAGAAGCTTTAGGGAGTAAAAGGGAAAGAGACAGTTTCTCTTACCTGGGAGAGAAGGACTTCCTGCTTCAGCTGCAGCTCCACCTGCAACAAACACATTTAAAATACCTTCATTTAGATCAACACGTGGGGCCTTTGCTTGTCTTTCTTTATTTTCATCACTTGGGCGTATTCAGCACATCATGGAATTTTCTTATTTTTGACTCATCAACTGATTCTTACCAGAAGATGCTGCATCTTAGCGTCTACAGCAGCAGACACAACGGCAGGGTCCTGAACGAAAGAAACAAACAAAAAAGAACTTACTACTATTACAAAATAAAGACAGCAAACTTCCATATGAGCAACTTCAAAACAATGGGTGCTTCATTCTTCATGTTTGGGACCCATTAAAAAAGACTCTTGGGTGTCAGAACCTTTGGGCTTTCTGAAGGAGCAACTGCTAAGTCTAGAAACCTCTGAAAACTAAATGTACACTTTCTACTTGTGCTTGCTGTAGTAAAAGTCCCAGACGTAAGCTAAGGAGAAATAATTACTCGTGAGCAAGCCTTGAAGATTTAGGCTCTAGAATTTCTTATTGTAGGTGAGTTTAGGTTATTTAGTAAAAGCAGGAAACATCTGCATCAACCCACAGTGTCCGATTAAGCTACGTTCACCCACACATCCAACGGCAACCTATGAATCTAGCACAGACGATCAGTGAGATGCAGATGAACTGCACTTGAGCCGTACCACCACAGCAGGTGCGGAATGCATGGTGTTGGGTCGAGGAGGAGGAGGAGTGGCAGGGATAACAGGCTGACTCTTGGGTTTGGTCTGTGACGGGGTCTTTGTGACAGTCATGCGGGAGATGAAAGAGGTGAAGAAGGGAAGGAGCAACCAGATACCTGGAGAAGACAGGAGGGATACCGCCTTAAGAACAGCACTTTAAACACACAAAGCAAACATCGCCTAACTCCATGAACATTTTAACATCAAACACCCTGACAGGTGCAACCTGTAATCACTGGTATTTACTGTGAGTCATTCAGCCACATTGAGGTGGAGAAGGTGGAGATGGTGCGAGCACAAACTAACCACACGAGCATAAGAGGCCAGGCGGTGCTGTTTTGCAAGTCATACATTACATCTGGGGGCAAACCCAACCGCCTCCTCTAATTTCCTGGGGGAAACCCTTAGTCCCCAACTGCATGAATGATTCAGGAAACTGGGTGTGATAGAAATTACAGAAATGCAATCGCACTGCAACAAGGTGTGTGCTACCTTCTGAACATATACACAAATGTAAACAAAGCTAAAGAGCAACCATCAGCACTCCCATTTTCACATGATGAGGTGTCTCCAAAAACTCCAAGACGACACACAAACTTGAACTCATTAAATATTTATGGTACTTACATAGGAGTACGATGAGGAAGAGGAGAACCAGACCACAAGCTTTCTTCATGCGGCTGCTGACCGGAGCATTAGCTACAGGGAAGAGAAGGAAAGTCGGTTTTGCGGGGATTTTGAAAAGCCAGATCACATGCAGCGGTTGTGAAAGAACAAACCTACTGGTATGTGAGAGCAAATAAAGTTTACGGGCACATGTCAGAATGTGGTCACATACTGAACAAAGTCACTTAACAATGCTCAAGAAAGTGACTACTATAAATATATATGACATCCTACCTAAAGCTGTCAGATGAAGTATTTTTGAATGTGCTGCAGCGGCCATCAACGAGGCTGAATCTGCCCAAAACATAGGAAACAAACAGGTTATTACATAGTAGTATATAGTAGTAGGACAAACACAAATAAACTCCAGTACTCACCAGTTAGACTATCGAGGGCACTGCTGATTCTGTCTCTATATCCAGTACTGGGAGCCCCGCTGTCCCTGCTAACTGTGCTGGTGTTACTGGTGGCAGGTACAGCCTTCCTGTAGGTGCCCTCAGAGGACGAGTATCCCGAGCTGTCCACGCCACTCTGACTTAGCTCCTTGTGGTTCGGTCTCAAGTGTAATCCTGACCCGCCTGAGCAGAAGAGCCCGGTGTAAGCGCTCTTCTCTGGAGGTACTGAGGGGCAGCGTGTGGGCGTCTGAGCCCGGGCTGATGACGGGGTCAGTGCGGGGCGAGGGGTGACCGTGGTGGGGACGTAGGGCGCAGTCCTCATGGTGGGCGAGGTCTGAATGCTCAGAGGAGACGGGCTCAGACCTGAGAGGCAGAAGAGAGATGAGGAAAACTAAATGAACATGAATACATTTTTTTTTTTTCTAGCAAAACCTGATGAGTGAAAACTTACACCTATAGCATTACACATGTATCCTAATTGTTGAACATTAAGAATAGACTCCAATGGGGCGCCCCGGTAGCTCAACCGGAAAAGACGGCGACCCACGTACAAGGGTTGTAGT